TTCAGCTCACAAAATATGTCGGAGTAATCACGTGACATAATCACAAAAAAATACAGTCGAAGTGAGAACCTCATCCTTTTTTGAACTCGGTTAAATACTAATAAAGAGTTTTTTTTCTCTAATGGCAATCAATATTGTCCAACGTAATATTGATTGCTATTAGACAAAAATAATAATACCAAATACAACCCACCACCAAGGTATAAGACTCGTAGATACTTCACTGTCAGCACTTATTTTTGGAAGCATTGATTCCGTTAAGAAAAACTGAGAAGCGTTCATGGTAAGACTAAAAATAATCTGTTACCCGAGAAAAATATAACTGAAGTGAGTTTATTTGAGCCCTTGTTCCTATGCGTCATAAGGGTCATAACTGTGTCAATCAAATTAAAAATATATATATAACAAAATACACACTTATAAAATAGAACTATCATAATATGTCGTCGGTGTTTTGTAGAAAGGCCGAAAGCACCATTTCTAAAAATTTTTCAACGAAGTTTCCATTTTTCCCGACTGTTTTAAAATATTTACGTCCCGTTTTAAATTAAATTTTGAAACTTAAACTTAATTAAAACCAAAATCGAATTTTAAAATAATACCTAACTTAAAACAATCGGTAAACCTAAAACATGCTATCCTGTAAAATCTTTCGAAATAGCGCTTTCGCCCTTTTTACAAAGCATCGTTGTATCGAATTTTGAAATCGCGGGTGAACGTAAACTTAAAGAATATATACTTGGAAGTTCACAATAGTTGTTTCACCTTACAAATGACGAGACTGAAAATATACTATGTACCTCGTTGTCTTAAACGTGGATTCTGTCGTCAAGGTCTTAAAAGCGTGCTTGTAAGCAATAAAATTTATTCATCATTCGTCACGTAACTCGCAATTTACTCTAAAATTACTTTGTCTATCACATATGCTATAACAGGGAATGTATCGTATAAATTATGATCTAACTTACTTACGTTAAGTTACAATACAACTAGGTCAACTTCTTTTCATATACTTGAGAAATTACTGGCAGGAAGGAAATGCAATAAAATTGCGACCTACACGTACCAAATAAGGAACATACTTATATTGCCCTGTCAATTCACTAACTTCCGTACATGATTTTTCGTTACAGGTAATTTGAGTAACTTGTACGATGATATTTAGCCTTCAAAACAAATCATTATCTACTAGTCATCGTATGTCTATATACATATTTTATATACATATATACATTCTATATGAATACTCATTGTTAACAATTTTGACCGCGTGTTTTTCCACCGGCGAGGTGAGACGAGGCGAGACGAGGATTAAAATTTGTATGGTACAGTTTCTATTCTCTCCTAGCATCTTCGGTTGCAATGGCCTGGATTAATTAGGATGTGCGAGACGAGAATCGCAATATTTGTTAATGTAATATTGAACCGTGCTGCTGCCCACACAGAATGTTCAAATGCACACAGAATGTTACACTCTGCAACGGAAACGCAATTCACGAGATGCCCCTCGCGCTCTCTCGGTTGCTATTAACATCAATCACGAGATCACAGTATTTCAATATTTTTATTTTACTATCCACGGCCTCAGGGCGAGCGATTAATGGCAATTTTTGTTGGATATAGGCCGGCGAGATTTCAATCCTCGCCTAGCCTCGCCAGTGGAAAAGCACCTTTAAAAAAAGTGTTTAATCGAAATTGCGCTGCAATTTAGGCTGGCGCTTCTTATGGCAGAGATAAGGTACATGGTATATATTAAAATCATGTGTTGGTTTAAGCTTTGTCTGTATGACATTACAATAGTTTTAATGGGATTACATTGCCATGCTCAACCGATATACAAATTTTAAAATTATCTTTAGGCATTACCGCGAATGGACGTAAAAACCAAAACGACGACGACAAATTATCCTTGAAGTGTCTGATCATACAATTTCAAATGACTAAACACGTAAGTAAACAAAAACTGGGAGGAAATTACAAGTATGGAATTCCTTGAGTTCGCGGAATGACTGCAGTCGCTGTTGCTATGACACCACTAGTCACTGACATTGGTAGGTATTTTAACGTGTTACGTGATTAGTTCTTGACAATATCGTGTCATCGATTGCAATCTTTATTCTGTAGTTATTTATGCTTCCTACTTTTCGAGGCATTCTTCTAGTTAGCCGGAATATACTTACGACTTTTATGCCCTGACGTACCGCACCTATAGATTTCAAATGTGTGCATAGGAATAATTTGAAAATTAGTAGTTGTGTAATCAAATAAACATTTCCGGATTACAAGTACATTATTAATAAAAGTGACGTGCTATAAATTTATCATAAATAACGTATCGTGGCATAATGTCAAATCACAAGCGTGGAAGATTTATGACGAAGTATGTAAATGTTAAAAATAGAAGGGCGTTCCAGCTATTACATACAGAAGAAATTTAAAAAAGTTAGAGATGTACAGAAAAATAATATCGATCTGAAATCGACTAAACAATAGACGACGACGTTAAAATATTCCATGATATACTATTGTTACACAATAATATTATTTAACCTTCACACAGTAGTGCAGACAAAACGGCCATTCACATCAAGAGTTAAAAAAAATAGTATTTGCATAATGCATAATTTTATGTATATTAAACAATATGTTTATGTAAGACTATGTAACAAAAATGATAAATGGAAATAAACAACGCGATAAAGGGTTTTTAACATGTCGTCGTCTATTTCGACCTGTCCTGTAGATATAGTTATGACTAGAACAATGCACTTTAACTTGTTTCCATCGATAGCGGGGATATATTGTGTTTCATTATCGCTTGTTTATCTAACAATAGGGATTTAATACAGAGAAGTTCAAAGCTAATAAAACCTCTACTTACAAATATTTAAAAAACCTTGTAAGTGTAAATAAAGACTACAGAGCTGTGTCAACAAAGTCGGTTATGGCTATGTTGCTAATTCAGATCGCATTGTTATTGTTTTTTAAATAAAATAATGTTAAGTAACTAATTTGAACATTTGTATTTCATTTGTTACATGAGTTTGATGTTTTGAGAAGAGCTCACCTTAAAAGAACTGAGCTCATGCCAAAAACAGAAAATAAAATATTTTCATTACAATTTACAAATGGAAGTTTTCGACTTTTTGTTTATTTTCCGATCTTCTGAGAGTCCGATTTCATTACAGTATAATTTTAAATATCAGCATGGATGAATAAAGCTTTGGTTTGAATGATAAATAGAACCGGTTTCTTTGGATCTTGTCTAAAATTAAATATTTTTTCCAATGTGTACTAATGTTCAATGTACGCATGAAATTGCCATTTTAAAGTTATGGGCCCTCAAAATGAAATAAAATATTTTTAGTGTACTATTCAAACTAGAAACTTTGTTAAATAAAAAGGTAAGGTTGTTAATTTTAAAATTTTGGCGTTATTGATTGGGTTTTTGTCATTTTGCATTCTCTTTAATATCAAGCACGGCTACTCCTAAGATTTTGACTACGATAACAAGCGATTACAATAATCTTTGTCTACGAGAACAGAAGTGGTGCAGGGAAAACGAAATAAATGCGTATGAAGCGGACAGAGCTAATGAGTCTCGTAGACGACAAGAGCTTAAGGCTCAATTTTTTTCAATTTTTTTTTATTATATCAAGTGACGGGACGAACAAGTCGTACGCCTGATGGTTGGCTACACGCCTGTCCATAACAGTTACAGTGCCACTCAAAGCTTTAAATTTCAAAGATCTGAGGGGCACTATCCCTGCGCTCGTCAACCTGAGACTTGACAAGTCCCATGTGCCTGTAATTGCACCAGCACTCTTACGCTTCAAAACCGGAATGCTGACAATACTGCTTGGCGGCAGAAATAGGTAAAGTGGCAGTACTACCCTGGAAGAACTCTTTCACCAGGCGCTCTATAGCTACTAAACTACGAACTATTATTGAAACCGATCCATCACAAACTACGGAGGAATCAGGTCATGGTTTAACGTAACTGTAGCCATAGTATTGACTCACTTGGATCAAATTGATAAAATAAATAAAAAATAGAAAAATCTGTACCACACGAATCGTCAGAACCACAATGAGCATCTTAATGCATCCACACAAAGGGTCGTATTCCAGAACTCGTCTCAATGCTCAAGTCAGGATTTGAGCAGACTTGAGTATGATTTCAAGCACTGGAAATACGACTCTAATGACAAGGACTTGAGTATAATTTTCAGTGCTCACTGCTGTACTCAAGTCCTGACTTGAGCATTGACAGTACAGTAGGTAGTACAGTTCTAGAATACGACCCTAAGATGAAATAGTTTCACGATCGTATTTTTTTATTTTAGAATTTAAAAACGGTACAATTTTCTTAGATTAATACTCCTACATAGTCTATAGGATAGACCTACAAAACTGTGTATACAATTTGACTGCAAGATCCAAATGAGGCTCAATTGAACAAAAGGATATGGTTACGAGTTCTTAACTAAAACAAATACGAACTATTTTAAAAAAAATTGAGAAACAATAATTTTTCAACCTTTTTTTAATTTGCATATTTATTTTGGTTTCATGTCCAAGTTCTTAACGTTACTTGTAATAAAAACGGATTCTTTATGATAATCGCAAACAATCCATACACTAAACGATCAATATACCGTAATTAAGTTCTTAAAAGTAAAAACCAACCAGCACAACCATATTCCTCGAGAATTAAAGCGTAACAAAAAATTGCCAATGTTGACAATTTGGTGCAAGAAACGTTAAGTAAGTATACTATGAATCACTCGTCAGATAAAAATGTAAAAAAGATTAGGTAATACAATTTGTGCTAGTTTACTTTATTGCACTTATATTGATTTTTTAAATAATAATTGACTATGAAAGTATGAATGTAATCGATATTATTATAATGATGAAGTGACCATGGTCCCGAGTTAAAAAATATATTTATCCAGTAACGGACTTAAGGCTAACTAAGATAACAAAAAAGGACTCACCTTATTCCGCACTCCATCAAGAAACAGAAGAATCCGTAGAGCATGCATTTGGCTGCATAAGCTTTGATTATGACTCGGAGTAGGCTCGGAGTTCGTTTCCCTTTCGCCTGCGCAACTTCCTCCTCCCATAAACGAGCGAATTTATCACCTAGCGGAGCTGAAAGAAACAGCTGAGTTTAGGACAAAATGGTAGGCGATTTATCCTAGAGCCTGTACGAAATATCTGTGGCCATAACAACATTTTGTTAAATTTGACTAACTTCTGCTGTCCGATTGTTTTCTTCCAATACAATAATATCATTATTATAAGAAACGGAGTCTATCAGCATTAAGAAAAAAAAAGTACGTAAACTTTATTCATTTTCTATGAAAAATCATTTCATTAAATTTGACCAAATTCTGCTGCCCCGACTTTTTTGTTCCTTTGCAATGAAATCATCCTTATAAGAAACTGAGTCTATTAGCATTAATAATAAGTTAGTCAATTTTAATCATTTTGTATGAAACATATTTTACGAAATTTTATCAACTTTGGCTCTCCGGATTTCTTTCGTCCTATACAATGAAATGCGTATAAAAAATCCTTTCATGAAACTGAGTATCAGCACTAAAAAAAATGTTGATCAAAAAACAAAAAAGACGTAATGATTCCAAAGAGAGACAAACATACTTTGCAATCATTGACTTACAAATAAATGGACGACGGGTCTAACACAAAAACCACGAAAAAAATGTCCCAAGTCAACCTATTTAAACGTAGTGACATGTAAAGGAATATGAAAAAGCTAAAACGTTGAATTTAAATTGTAATGTCATCGCAGTACTGTCTAATTTTGCTTGCTTCGCTGTCAGTCGAACAAACGAAGACTAGCGTGAATGACGCTCTGTATACGATTTTAACGCTCTATAAGTTCGGACACTTTTTAGCGCGGACCCGACGTCCATATAATTGTAAGTCAATGTTTGCAATGGTTACTTTAAAGATTAACTTGAGCGCATTGAATACAATATGAAAAGAACTGGGTTCTATGAAAAGAATTAATTGTAAAATTATGGATAAATTACAGAATTTTACTGTCAAATAAAAACGAGGGCAATGTGTTTTAGACTCACCAAATATAATCACACGGGATCGCCTTGAGTCGGTCAGAAAAACATTTACGTCCATGCAGTACGTGCGAAGAAGTAGCGCGTTTCGCCACCGCTCTTATTACATGTATATAAAGATTTTTCTGACACGGATTCGCTAAATCGATAAGTGTGGTGACTATTATAAAAAATATATTACCCTCTTATGGGTTGATAAGTCTGGTAAAAATGACAAGTTTCTCCTACCTGAAGAGTGTTCTTCCAATGTTTCATAGAGATCTTGTTCTTCTATTTCTTTCTTCAAACCACTCCAAAACATAGGTAGAGTCCATCTGTGCAGATTTTATCATTTTAATATGTGGTACTTCATATCCAAACCACTTAAACTCAAGCTATGAAATTTTTTCAGAGAATTATACTTCCTAAATGTACTGTCTAATATGACGATAACTCACATAGTAATATTTTTATAGTTTTTAGCTAAAACTGCTAACATTAAAAGACAGAATGAAACCTATATACCACATGCAACAATTGGAACGTTATTTCTTGCTGTGATTAGTAAGAACGGGTGCCACTGATATCGAGTGGCAATTCAAATTCCTCGACATTATTAAAAAGAGAACTTTTAGAAAAAGTTGGTTCTTGTGTTTTAAAAACTCATTATACACATATTTCTTTGGCACGTTCATTGTCTTCATGCGTATATGTTAAGAGATCTGAACATGAGCCAGGAAGCAATCTTACTAAACCAATAAGAATAACTTTGCAGAGGTGCACGAAAGGAGCCTCCTCGCATAACGGACCATTCCATTCCTGTACGTATGGTAACAACCGGTGACCACCGTATGCTGATTGGGAAATCCTTACACCACAATGGCGAGCATTACAGTGTATGCCAACAATACAACAAGAAACATAAAAATAAATTTCAATTTTTATTGAATTGATATCTAATTATTTCTTGTGAAATTACTCCACTAGTTTGTTATAATTATTAATTCAAAGATTGAACACAAAAATGCCTTTGATCTAGCCGGATTCGAAACGACGTCTCAACCGCGCAACGGCTAAAAAGTCGTTGAAGAACTAAATACAAAGATCCGACAACAAGCACATAGAAAAATTCGGGAGGTCCACTGATTCGTTCTGTGGCTTAGTTGGCATAGTGTCTGACACGGCTTGTTAGCAGATACTCTAGGTTGACCGAAATCCTATGCAAATAAACATAACAAGCCATGTTATGGGGGACTTCTTTTCTTTCTCCTTTTTACTAACTAAACTAAACAAAGTGAAATAATCATTTATTCCATAGGTAAAATTTTTACACTTGAAAACATTACTTTTTAACCTACTGCGTTCAGTACACTGACCTCTCTGAGAAGAACGAGTAGGAAACTCTAGGGATTGCTCTTTTCAAATAAACTTAAATGCTATGGAATTTACTCTTTGAATCATAATTGTGTGGAATCTAGAATCTTGATGTCTTTCCATACTTCTTTATCTAAAAATACTCTTCAATTTTGTAATATGACTATTCAATTGAAATACTTTTAATGTAAATTTTAAGCTTAAGAAATGATAATCTTAATATATTCTCCGGAATCTTATTGTAAAAATGTATACAGTTCCCCATAAAAGAATTGTTTACCTTAGTTAAACGAAATTGTGGTACCATGAGTTTGGACTTAGTTCTAAGGTTAATATTATGGATATCTTCGTTCTTAATGAAATTATGAATATTTTTACGGGCATCCAAAATATTTGAGTGAATGTACTGTGATGCCACAGTGATGATACCATCGCTCTTTTTTGCTACAGAAATATGGTTTGAATATCTGCCGCTGATGATTCCACATTATATGTTATACTGAAACTATGTAAATATTTGCATTTTCAGTAATGTTTTCCTACATTTAAACAATTTTGTTTAGAATCCCAGATAAATAGTTGGTTTTCACAGTAAATGGCCAATCACTTTTAATCCTCAAATATATTTTTCACTTCACTAGCTAGGAAAGGCTTTCTTTCTTATTGGAAATCTGCGCGCAAAAGCATTTTTTGCATGCTAGCGTGGAAAAGGTTTTTGAAATTCGAACTTGATGATGGACTGTGGTGCACCTAACTTTTTCTTTCAATGACAAAAAAAAGATAATGACATGTTCAACTATGCGATTTGTCATACATTACCTACTTAGTACTTGGTACTTGGTGTAACGGGCTGGTGTCCACAACACCAATGTAATATAAATCCATTGACATATTTTATTCTTATTATTGTTGACATTAATTTGGCAATGAAAACTATAGTCGATTGTACAACAAGTGCTTTATGCGCTTGTTGTACAATCTATGCGTCATTTTACCCGAGAACAAGTATATCCATGGATATTATTAAGTCGAGGGTAAAATGGGTTTTATGAATGAGTTATACACTCTGCTTTTCACTTCGATTGCGAGGAAATTAAGTAGCAATATTACAAATAAACGAATATTTAATTAAAATTGAATGTAAAATTACAACAATTAGACATATTTAATGTGATGGTTTTTTTTATTTTATCCACTAGAGCATAAAATCCTATTTTACACAGCCTGCACCTAGCATAAATACGAACTTTAAGAGCATGAGAAGTGAAAATTGTGTTTATTAAATTATTTTAATTCCTCGAAGAACTAAAATAATTTCAATAATCACTTAATCACACAAAATAAAAGTACAAGCAAGAATAAAAATTGATGAGGTGTAAATTCAGAACGCATCCGAAGATAAGTTTTCTTTTAATTAACAAAACTGATGTTCAACTGTTTTTCTTTCATCTACCATTTTCCTCGATTTAGTGAGGTGAAAAGTTGTGTTTTGCTCAGCAGCAAAGTTGTTTAGTGTCTCATGCTTTGAAACTATTCTACCTATTTTTGATCTTGGCTTCCATCGCTTGCTCAGGTTTCAATACAAGCACTTGCGTTAAACAACAACTTTGCAGCCTTGCATAAAATATTTTATCTTGCCTTTTAACCAGTACACAAGAAGATTGAACTACTTACACAAATGTTAATACAGACAGTGGATTAGCTTTTGCCCTAGGATTTGGTGGGCGACCTTTTCTATTCCACGACTCCATCCTGGTGTTTCTATAACAAACACAAACCTAAAAATCGACAAATCCTTATATTTACACTTATAAAGCTCACAATACAAGTGTGTGAAAATTGCAAAGAATTAATTTTAAATTGTAATAATAAATTTGAACAGAAATTTACAATACAAAATGTTTAAGAGTAGGCAGGTACGAAATTCTTAACTAGATGCTATTTTTTACTTGGATTTATTAAATTATGATTCAGTCAGAGTTGTTTGTGTTTCGTAACCTTAGCAGCTGATCAACGCTGACATAACTTCACCGGCGCGCGGCGTCTTCTTACTTTTATAATCGGCTGCAGTAATTACTCTGCGTGCCAATCTGAGAGTAGCAAAATTTCAATTCATACCCACTAAAATCAAATTTTGACGGAAAATTCCTATTTCAAACACACTTATTCCAATGTTGATATATACACATAAATAAGTAAATGTTACAATTATAATAAATTAAATCTAAATATACGTTTATCACGAGAAAAATAAATGTATAAATTATTTAATTTCGTAAAGAAAGCACAAAACTCGCGCGAATGACAACGTCCACCAACACCTGAATTTTTGCAACTGCAATTTCATTTGACTGACTGACTGCAATGTAATAGAGTTATCGCAATACGTCATGAGTATGAGGCAGTTAGTCTACGATAAAATTGAATTTTCTACTTAAGGGAGCGTGTATGTAAAAAATGTGTGTAATAAAATAATATTTTATTAGAAATGCCTCTGAATATTATTTATAGATAAATAAAACAATACAATGTAGTCATTCATCATAAAAAGAAATTGTCACACATTTATACAATCGATCGATTTTGTTTCTGGTGGGTAACTCTACAGGGAAAAGGAAATCACTTTGACATTATTTTTTTTAATCAACAAATATTTAAATTGGATTAAAAAAAAAATTAATAGTATAAAACGTTCATTGTGAACTTGGTAGGTTTGAGATAAAAAAAACCGCGCCCTCCTAGCAAATACTTTAATTTGTTTAATAATCATTTTACAATATGTAATTTTTTTGTGAGTTAATAAATAAATAAGACAACATTTTCACTTACTATTCAGTTATTTATAGCTAATCAATAAATCAATAACAAACGGAATATTTTTTCCAAAAATGATCAATAACAATATAATTTTAAAATTACGAAAAATAAAGTAGGTACATTTAGATAAACAACTTACGACAAATTGTAATTATTTTTATACAAACATGATTTTATTCTAATATCACACTTTACGGAGGATGCGAAACATATTGCGCTAATTTAATGAGTGTTTCGCGTTTTTACGTCCATATAAGTTTGATTGTTTGAAAAAGTTTTCCGTGCAATTTCTTCTTTGAAGTACTCGATTGTTTTTTGTAGACCATCTTGTAGAGATACCTGTAAAACCGAATAATACGGTAATATTATTGAATATGTTGTGTATAGTGGTATCTATATTTAGTGATCATGAACGTTTTTGACCTTCGATACATAACGAAAAATTAACAAATCACCTTTGGTGACCAATTAAGTTGTTGCTTAGCAACGGCGATGTCCGGTCGACGACGTTGCGGGTCGTCCGTTACCGCCGCGCCTGTCGCTACATTGCTGCGGCATCCGGGGACTAGATTCTTTATTATCATTGCAAATTCTGAAAAATACAAACAAAAAAGTAGTGTTGCAATGAATAGTATACTCGACCTCTGGCCGAATATTAGTATGGCAATAATTGGGGCTTATTAATTTAAGTTATTTTAAATTATATTATACAAGAAGGTATTTTAATTTTGCAGTTTATGATTTAACTTGATGACTTCATGACGAAAGTAATTGTTTATTTTACTTGAAATACTATAACTAACATTATAATTGAATTAGTATAACTTTCAAAAATTTATTTTATTTTGGTTTGCAAATAATAAGTAATTGTTGATTTTGTTAGCGTATATTTAGTCAGGAGTAAACTACATAATAAATGGGTAGTTTTCGTTAGATACGAAAACTATGGATCTCTTAGGAAAATTTGTAAATCAAGTTACATTTTCTTTTATTTTTTTTTAGATAAAGAAGCTAAAAATGGCGCTTTCGCGAATTGTCGATGTAGGTATTAAAAATTACATCGTAATTTACTGTTTTTCTCATTCAACATTCGGCCGAATTGCTAAAAACAGGCCGAATACCGAATAGTAAAGAACTATTCTTAACAGATACACAGATGTTTTGATTGTATTTACTTGTTTAATTGTATATTGTTATATTTATATCTATGCTGCGAGGAGTACGGTATAATACGGTAGCACAGTTTAATAAGGTAGTATGGTAACTCAGTACAAACAAATATGACGGTAGGCAGGGAGTATCCAGTATCTGTTGAAATCACGGCAACGAGTAAATGTTCATAAGTAAAAGACGCCAGTAACGTTATATATGAAGAAACTTTACATCTATTGACTAGAGCTAAGGGAGAGAGCGTACGTACATCATAAAATAGACAAGAAATATAGCATAAACAAAAAAAATTAGGACTCAATAGAATCATTTGTATTGATTGTATGTTTTTTACTGCGCACCGCATTCTGTTAACGTGTTTACCTTCTATAGTATGTTCTACGGGATTTCCTAGATTAACAGGTAGAGAGTATGATGATGTCATTAAAGAGAGCAGTCCATCCACTAGATCCGATACGTAGCAGAATGACCGGGTCTGTTTTCCATTACCATATACCTGAAAATAATTGAAAAAAATATTACTCAATACAGTTTCTCCATAAGCTGTACTTTGTTATAACGGTGAATCGTTTGAAAAACGGTACTTTTCCACCAAATTCCGGAAAGTGATATTTTTCTGTCATAATTATATTTTTTAATTTCTAAAAGTAATAGGAAAATAAGAGACTATCTCTGATTCGGCTGAAAATTGGCATATGGTAGGGTCTCTAGAAGTGCCGGATAATAATTTGTTGTTCTCTATTTTCAAATATGGCCGCCATAGAAACGTTCATAAGCGGCAAAAAAAATTGCTCTGATCTCTTTGAAAATTGGCATGTGGGTGTCTCTAGAAGGGCGTGATAATAATTTGTGGTCATAATTGGCTTTTCGCCATTTTTCAATATGACTGCCATACAAACTTTTTTGGCGGCAGATAAAAATTTGCTCTAATTTGACTGAAAATCGGCATGTCGTGATCTCTATGGGTGTTTAATAATAATTTGCGGTCAACATTTAGGGTCGTATTCTAGAACTCTACTCAATGCTCAAGTCAGGATTTGAGTATGGTTTAAAGCACTCGAAATCATACTCAAGTTACCTGCCATTAGGGTCGTATTTCCAGTGCTTATGTTTCCAGTGCAATCCTGACTTGAGCATTAAGTAGAGTTCTAGAATACGACCCTTAGTTTTAATCATTTTCCAATATGGCTGCCATGCAAACTTTTTTGGCGGTTGATACAAGTTTGCTCTAATTGGATTGAAAATTGGCATGTGGTGGTTCTCTACGGGTGTTTAATAATAATTTGCCGTCAAGATTTACTTTTTCCCATTTTTCAATATGGCTGCTTTTAAAGAGCTATGTTATTTTTTTAAAACAAAATCATGTACCGACGCCGCAGGCCGAGGTGCAGCGAGGCCGAAGCCCGAAGCGTCCGCACGCCACCGTATGTAGGTAGTATACGGAGGCTCTACTACGAGTACAAGTTCCCACAATTGTTCAAACTGTAAGGCATACTTCCCAATGTAGTGGAAATGAGATACTTATAGCGTTTTTGTATCTCGACCGTCTCTCTGTTAGTTTCTTTTTTCTTGAATGCTATGCCAAAGATAAATATTTAGGGAAAAAAATGCCAGACAATCACACCTAATTTCTGGTCTCAAACTAGGAAATTTTCTGTACTATGAAACTAGAGTAACAATAACTCGAGGGCAATACTTCGAATACCCTGACCAGAACCAACTTAAAAATGTTTGTTTCATAAATTGGCTCAAATCGGTAACCGAATCTGGAACCTCCTCATCAAGCATATAGTACTAATCGATGTGCCACCGAAGAACATAAGCACACCCCGTAATCTGAACCCGACCACGCGCCGCAGGCCGAGCCCGACGCCACCGTAGGTGGGGCATAGGGCTCGTATAATATAAAAATGAATAAACTAATGACACAAAGCAATGAATTTGTTACAATGATATCAATTATCGAGTGCATAGGAAATGAAACAATTTTTCCGGATTTAAATCGCGTATATTTGTTTTTTCAAACAAACCGACGTTTCGGGCCCTTCACAGGTCCCATGGTTGACTGAGGTGGTACTTGATAACTATCAACCAGTTTTGTATGTTAATTTATTCTAATTTCTATTATTAATTAATAATACATTGAACTTAACAAAAATTCATTCAATAAAATAATTTGTAATAAGTAATGTAGCGTAAATTGGAATGTTTCTTTGTTAAAATAAAAATAAGGTATTTAATTATTAACTTTAGTAACTGAAACAATAAGGTTGATTTGCATTAATATTAGACATAACTAACAGACTGTACCACCTCAGTTAACCGTGACCTTGGGACCTGTAAAGGGCCCGAAACGTCGGTTTGTTTGACAAACCAAATATACGCGATTTAAATCCGGAAAAATAGTTTCATTTTCTATGATATCAATTGTCATAAATTGTATTATTAACCGGTTCTGAGGTTTTCGCGATTAGCATTGGACACTATTTATTCTGGATCTAAGTCGCGTATTTTTGTTTTTTTCAACCAAATTGACGTTTTGGGCTCTTTGCAGATAGTCAAGCCTGACTGTAAACAGCTTAGTCATACTTTCCAAAGGTGGTCCCTACCCAGGGGGCGTTGAAGAGTCCAAGGGGGCGGTGGGGACCTCGGAAGCAATAGAGGGGCGGTGATGCTGTCCAGGTGGTACTACCGTATTTGAAAAAAAAACTGAATTGTTTATGCATATGTATGTTGTATAAACTACACTTCGTATCTGCTTTCCGCTACCTGACTAAAGCACGGCTAAGTGATAAAATATTTTTTTGAGATATCATAAAAAAATTATAACACAGTTTTAGAAACTTGAAATTGTTTAATGATATTTCAGCTATGCGTCGTTAGGGTAAGTCCCAATAAGTCGAACACGTTAACTAAATTTAACTGTTTTCAAAGGATATTGTGCTTTGTCTTTTGCTATTTAAGATGGATATTTCACCCTTTGTCACTTAGCCGCGTTTTAGTTAGTGGATGGCAGATATTATATATAATTTTTTTTTCCTTACGATTTTTTTGTCTTAAGTACATATTAAAAATAAGTATTTTTAATTATTTTTTGTGGTGGTAGGCATAGAAATTTTTATATCTTGCCAAAGTGGGCAGTGAGGCAAAAAGTTTGGGAACCTATAGCTTAGATTATGGAAAAAAACTAGCAAACAGCCTGAAATGTTGGTTTATATGAAAAACTAAATGTACGTGGTTTACATCCGCACTCAACTGGCTACTATTTTAGTTCCTCATGGGTAAAAAGAGATGTCAACTTTGGTACTTCTTTATTAATTAACTAGTGCTACAAGTTCTTCCCAAAGCCAGACCACATCCTAGTTAAATACATTGCGAACACACTTTATTATAATAATTGAAATATTAAATTAATAATAACTGTCAATACTATTGATACTCGTACTATTGATCTTAACTTCATGGTTGTCATGTATGCCGCTAGAGGCCGCGAGTTGTTCCTTTAGGAACTTTAATCCCAGTCAGCTAATTAAATAGCTATAATATTAAATTACAGTGATTAATTTAGTCATTAGTAGTATTAAATACTGATGATAATTATGTAATGATCTATAAATACTGTAGTTGTACGTTGTAATTAGTTGAATGTAGTGCTTTGTATTGCAATGTATTTTATTTTAATGTTGTGGTTACCAATGGCGACGCTAGGTGTTACTGCTGTTTAAGAATAGTGTTGTGTTAGTTAAGGTTTTGCGCGGGGAATAAAAACTTGTCTTTCGCGCTATTGTGTGGTCGTCGAAAATAAATTGGTTTCCAAGGACAGCTGTTTCCCAGCGCTTTTCCCCTGAATTGTAACACTAATCAACCCATAGATACTCATAATTGGAACTGTTTCAGATACAGTACAATTTAGGTAATCCGTTTAGCAAATTTGTTTATTGTGAGTTTGTCATACGCAGCTACGAGTATATTGTTGAAACCCAAGTATGAGTAAGCATTTTTTATATTTGGTTGTATTTAGTTCCTACCAAGTATTATTTTAAACTTTATTGTACAATACACTGAAGTACAAATGGCGGACTTAATGCGGCACTATCTACCAGTCAACCATTGGGCCAAACAGGATAAAGAAGCAATAGGTTGGTGCTACACTTAAATAAGAAGAATAATATACTTGAACTTAATCGATAATTTGAATGGTATAAAATAAATAACTTAACATAAACATACTTATTATGTAATAAACTTATAATATTTATCTTTATTTTATCAAAATAATAATAATAATGATAATTCTTTATTGACAGGTACCCATATTATATACAAATTATAATTATATATAAAAATAAAAGCAAAAGCAACAAAATAATCGTCATACAATAAAAATAGAATACAGTACAAACCGCTTAAGATAAGCCTGTCATTTCTTATTTCCATAACGATACACGGAAATCCAGTGTTTAAAAAAGGAATTGTGCACGTGGTCACAGAGTGTACGGAGAATCCTGTTGTCAGACGCACGGAGACGGCTCCAAAAGCTGGCGACGTGAGAACTTATTATTGCGAAAAAATCAGGAACTCCGGCCTCGGCGAATATGTTCGATGCGCTGCAGTATCTCGGCTGGTTTATTAGAATGCGTCATTATACTGCACTCTAATGGTGCTAATCGCGCGTTTCGAAAGCCTACTCCAGAGTTGACATGTATAGAAACATAAACAATATGCCCTAAACAACGTCACTCTGACATCACTACTACACCGCGCGATTCTGCGCGCGAGCACGTTGCACCGAACGGCTAGAGCCCTGCGCTCTCGTTCTATGTCGTCATCATCAACTAGACTCTCCGTTAGCACGTGCCCAAGGTATTTGAATTTATCCACCCTTTCCACTTGCGTACCATCTAAAAACACGGGCGGAACGTTCGCCGGGCCCCTTCCGGCCTTAAAAACCATCAGTTGCGTCTTCTGGACATTATATTTTAAGCCGTAGTTATGAGCATACTGCTCACACAGTGCCAGTAGCTTTCGCAGACCATTGATCGAAAACTGAGGAGCACCATATCATCGGGATAGTTCAAGCTATTTAGACACGTCGTGCCAATATGGCAGTCTACTCGAGTGCTTCTCAACTCCACGATCAGGTCATCCACATAAAGGCTGAAGAGATCCGGCGAGGTTAGCCCACCTTGGCGTACGCCACATTCTAACCTGAATACGTTAGGAGTTGTGCCGCCCCATCTTACACAATTAGTTTGGTGTTCATACCAGAATCTCAACAGACCAACGAAAAACTTTCCCAGACACGTTGGAAGCATAGAGTTTCTCCCATAGTAACCTCAGGTTCACTAGGTCGAAAGCTCGACTGAGGCGTACACTGATGTATCCCTACTAACATAGTGATTCACCACACTTTTAAGGCTGAAAATCGCCGAATCCGTTGTGAGACCGGGGTGAAAACCAAATTGCGCATAATCCAGCTGTATATTGCGCTTTAGGGGGTCTACTCTCGATCTCCGTCCGACATCCGTCCGAAACAATTACTGCCAAATAAGCAATACTTGACCAAATGAAAAGACGCGTGATGCGAATGAAGCTTCATACATCAAGAATTTTACCTATAATTGTACCTAATGAAATCGGTCAGTAGTTTTTGAGGCTAGAAAGGTCACCGGTTCTATTTTTTTAAAACTGGAATCCCCATAGTTTTCAATAAATGATTGGATACCCATGATTCACGCAAAGATTATAAAATTCCGCCATCACACGAAATATCTCATCACCCGCGTACAGTAGACGATCTACACTTAGTCCATCAAAACCTGGAGACTTGCCTCGTTTAATCCGTCTGACAATATTAGCGATGTTCAGGCGTGAACTGTATGCAATTAGGAACATCAAGTGTTGCGCGGGTGGAGAAGACACCACACGCGGACTGGTAGCGCACGCCGGGAGAGGCTTTACACTAAAGTGTTGCGAAAATAACTCGGCAATATCTACCGCGTTATGTAGCCCTTCCACACTAGAAGGATTTAACTTTTTTGTATTCTTCCAAAATTTAACAAAATTTTTGTCAGCCCTATGTGTGGCGAGGATGTCCATACGTATACTCTCCTCATTATTCTGGCACCACCTCAGTTTGTTCTTAAAAGCTTTACGACTGTTGGACATATTGTTATATATTTGTCCTGACCCCGGTCTACCACAGACAATCCAACAGTTATAATAATGCTTCGCGAATTCATTACTTTCTCCAACGTGGCAATTCCAGCCCAACACTTTTTTTACCGATTTCCGTGCATAGCGAGAGGTTCTAACACTTAATTTGGCAGAAGTTTGTAACGTCATGACTATATTCTCATAAAACTTATCAATCAAAAACAAATGTTCCTCACAGGAAAATTGCTTACAATTACCACATTGACTAGAATAGTTTATACTTTTTAACCTACTATCACAGAGCATACCATATGTATTTATCTGGCCTAAGTCCCTTAAACCCCATCCTACCCCACTTAGAAGGTCTATGTCATTATTAATCATAACTTTATTGATCACTGCTCTCATTTCACACGTCACATATTATACTCACACAATACACACACACACACAAAACACACACACACACACACACAATTTTGTTTTATTCCATTACTTTCTTATATATTATTAAAATAATCAATTATAAAACCCGCTCTCTGTAATTTAGAACATGATAACGCTCTTATATTATGTAGAATACAGTGCGAAGTGCGGTTGGTGAGTGCCTGGAGATCCGTAACACAGGTCAAATCCTAGTATGGACTCCAGTCTCTTACAAAGATATATTAATAATAAGTCCATAATGTAAATTACTTATTTATAGGACAACTTTGTAAGAGAGAAATAAAGATTATTATTATTATTATTACTATTATTATGGTAGGTGGTCTGACCAATAGACATCGTAGTCAACTCGTATGGACGTGATTGTGTCCCGCGCTATTTGTGTCGTTATGAAATGATCCAACCACCGCATGGTGTCATGGGTGTCGCTAACGAACGTGAACATATCATCGGCTAGCAATTCAATATCAGCGCACAACAGGGAATGATCAGTACAGAACGACTGGAGTTCCGTCCCAAACCTTGCATCAGGGTGTGCATTAAAGTCGACCAGGACATAAGCATTTTCAGAGTCACTATCGGCAATGACCGAAGATACAGTCGCAAGACTCTGCGTGAATTCTGTCAGGTTTTCCTCCTTGTCTACTGGTAGGTTGACGCTGAAGGCAAGAACTTGAGTCCCATTTAAACTTATTTGCACGGTGGCTACCCTGTCGCCAGCGCTGTCAACTACTGATACCATTGGGAAACTTGATTTCCTCCTTGACGAACTCTCAGCACACCGGCAGATGTGTCAACGGAAGATTTAGCGTGGCAAGCAAAGTCACCACTTATTTCATTCACAAAGTTTAGGTCGTGCGGAAGAAGCCACATCTCCAGCAGAGCCACAATGTCTGCGAATTTGCAGAAGTTCCTGATTTGTGCTACCGATCTTTTATGGATTTACAGTTAAAAGAAACCATTACAATATGTCAAACTTTGCGTGTACTATCCATTAAGGGCGTATTTATTGTCATTTGCAAGCTTTGTACCATACGCGATACGATCACGATAACGGAATACTAGTCTACTCGGCCAGAATTCTTTATTCAAACATTTTGGTAATTTACTAGAGGAGACGGTAATCTTGAAAGAAATAAAGTCAATTTCTTTATTTTGTGTCAATAATTCTACATTCAGACATATTTCATTCATGTCCTTAATATGGTCCTGTATATAAACGATAGTAGTGCTCTTTTTAGTGCGAGATAAGTATATTGAAACTTTCGGGTCATTAACCAGTATTCTAGTAGAGTTTAGTAAAGCACCTCGGAGATTACGGCGTTTATTATTAGTCTTTTTCTTAATCACAATGATATAGTCATTGTTTTCTATAGTTGACGGTAGGTCGCCATTGTGATTAGCCAACATATCCTTGGCAGCTATCGTCGCGCGCCGTACGGGTCAGAGTCGCACACGGATTCCGCGATCCCAGCATAATGTCTCGGTACGAGGGCGTATGCATCGACACCGGTAAGCCGGTTTCAATATCCGCTGGTACGGTCATAAGCGACGAGCGATTTTTCCGTCTTGTAGGTGTTGTTATGTTCTGATTTTGTGTTTTTGTCTTTGTTTGCTGATGGTCAGATTGTTTTAATAGATAATTATGTAAGTTTAGTAACTTAAGTAATAGGTATGTGTACATTTTTTTGATAATTTTGTTGTAAAATGCTCCTTAAGAACTATACTTACAGTAATTGTAAGATTCTGTAAAGCCTGCATAATGAAGTTAGAAACCACGCGTCCATCTGAAGCATGCATTCTAGGGCCGTAGGTGTTGAATATTCTTGCCACTCTTACGGTAACGTTTTCTTGTTTCGCGTAAGAGTACGCTAGAGTTTCAGCCACCCTTTTGCCTTCGTCATAGCACGCTCTAGGTCCTGGAACATAGAGAACATAAAAAATATATTTGTAAGTGAGAGGTAAAGAATCTTAAAGGCGCCTTCAAACTAGATACTTGTAGAAGCGCTGCAGTAGCATGTCTGTGGCGGCACTACTGATTTTCGTACAATATCTAGTTTGTAAAAGTGGCGCGAATGTGGCGCTTCTAAATATTGATGAAAATTAGTAGCGTCTAATTTGGAGTTTAGAAGTTTTTACAATTGCTTTAGAATGCTTAAACTCACGCAATGGTAGAAGACATCTAACTATATATCATATATATTCTATCGTCGTCTGTTTTTTTTTTATTCAACAAATTTTTTGACCTTATATTTTATTGTAAATGTCTAATAAAGAGCCTCACCTACAGAGGCGAAGAGACAGAGCGTCTAAGGTATCTGAACCAATTTAAAAAATGTGAAGTTCAACAATTAAAAAACAACTAGAGATGTGAATGCTCGAAATTGTAGAGATCTTGATAGATTTGTTTTTGAGGATTCGAAAACAAGTTTATGTAAAAAAAACTGTTTATGTTCGTATGCTATGAGTACTTAACAACTTTCGAAGAACATTATTAAACTATTGTGTAATCGTTTATTTAAGAAAAAAATATATGATTTGCTGTTTAAGAAAATTTTTTACAATATCAAACTATTTAAGAAAAATATTTTTCCCAAGTATCGTATAAATCTATTATGTTGTCATTTTCGTGCTAGTATTTTAAAGAGGAATGTTGTTTTAACATAATTTTGACATCTTTTTTGCCACGTTGGAAGCAAATAAAGAAATATTATATTATCAAAATTATATTGGTGTACCTTATCGCGATAAGGTCGCAATTTTTATGCTCGTATTGCATTGTATTTCTGATTGTTATATTATTTACCGTGTTTATAGTACCTATAGCTTGTATACGTACATGTCCTTTTATGTGGACGAATAAAAAAAGCAAACTTAAACATTATAATAATAATAATATAATATAATAATATATCTTTATTGTTTCTCTCACAAAGTCTTAGTATAAATACAAAAACAGTGCTTAATTATTTAAATAGTACAATATTTAAGTCTGTGTGAGAGACTGGCATCCGTACTAGGAGACCTGTATTACAGATCACCAGCCCCTCCACACTCCGGACCAAAAGCAAGTACAGCTTACTTATACTTAGATAGTTACATTAAGAAATGACTTTATTAATAGACTTAAGGCGCGAGAGTGTGTGGATAAATGAGTGTGTGCATGTGTATGTGATGGTGTGTGTATGTGTGTGTGAAGGTGTGTGCGTGCGTGCGTGTGTGTATGTGTATTTGTGTGTGCGTGTGTGTTTTCTGTGTGTGACAGAGAGTGTGAATGACTGTGCAAGGTGTATACAAAACCCAATTTACCTAAATAATGAAATAACCATATTATTTAGTATTCATTATTTTAAGTTGAGATAATTCACAGATTTTAAGATTAATCATAATTTAGATGTTACTTTAAGTTGGAACAATTAAGAGATTTTCAGTTTCATCATAACTTAGATTTTTAAGCCAACTAGTGACAACTCTTTTACAGTTGAATTTAGTGAGCGAGTATATTTTAGTTGTTTTATTTATTTTATTATATAAATACCCTCCTAGAAAACCGAAGAATCTATTCGAAAAAGGTGTGGTCTAGCGAGTAGAAGAATGACATACTTTATATTTCAAACGTTTGTTATTATGGAGCGAAGGATCATAGTTCAGAACAACGTGTTGTTTTAATACAGTGTGCAGGACAAATAGTTGACGCACAGACAAGACATCACAAAGGGAATAAAGGTCTGAAGTAGGGAACATAAAGGGCAAAGACCGACTCACTTTCAGGACAGCTCGCTGAGCTCTTTCAACCTTTATTAAAGAAGATTTAGGTACTCCACCTCAAGCAGTGATGCAGTACGTTAGAACAGATTGGCATAACGCCAAGTACACCATATTAATGACACGGTTATCTGCGATGTGCCTAAGATTTTTAAAGATATATATTAGTTTACGTGTCCTAGCTGAAAGTAAATCTATATGCATATTGAAACTCAAGGTGTTATCTATCATTACACCAAGATATTTGATATGTGAATCTAACGTAAGACTGGGACAGAAGAACGTCGGGTCGCCGAGACAGATATGGGCTAAGATGGTGTAGTCGTCATGAGTGGTCCATGGGATATTTTTAATTGAAAATGGAATATATTTAATTTTTTCTACATTTAATGTTAGCCCATTGTTTTTGAGCCAAGAATAGACTAAGTTGAAACCGCTTTGAGTATCGGCGTACACTTTATGCCAAGTATCGCCATGAAAAATTAAGGCCGTATCATCGGCAAACGTCACAATCCTACCATTTCGGAGCTGGAGATTGCAGAGTTCGTTAATGTAGGCGAGGAACAGTGTGGGGCCTAAAATACTGCCTTGCGGCACGATTATAGATAGCTGTTTGGTTTTTATGGTATACATTTTCCGAGCAATAAGGCGCGTGACAGGAAATTTGTACAGGGTCAAGAGCTCCGTCAAGCTTTACACTTTACACTTTCAAATATACGATTTCTTTGATTATATAGAACAAAGTTTGCAGCTGCCTCGTCGATTGTGACAAGTTACATTGGAATTTTCTAAAAATATTGAGAAAGTGAGTTACTTTTACGACACTTACGGATGATACAAAGCTAATAAATTTTAACTTATTACTTAAGGTAGGTTATTACTTGATGTATACTTCGCATATTAGCTCGGTGCAGCAAGTGAACAGCTAGCTAGCTACAGGTGAAGACTGAAAATCAGCAATGCTGACATTTGTCGAAAACTTTGGTGGGAAACATTTTCAAAATGAAGTTATAATAAAAATTTTGAGACAGTTTAATAAAACAAATATCTTCGATACCATTTCCAGCCATGTCAGCCAGTGAGAGTATCCGACTTCCAATCATGTAACTGATTTAATAAAAACTGTAAATGCACGTTACCTTAATATTCGCACACATCATTTACTAAAACTAAAATTATCTAAAAGGCAACTGTTAAATAAGTACGTTATCTTTCACTTCTATCTTCTGTAAAGAAACTATCAACATCATATTATTATAGGATTTTATAAATTTTTTGACATAATCGTATGTAGGAATGAAACTATTTTTCCGGATTTAAATCGCGTATATTTGTTTTTTTCAAACAAACCGACGTTTCCATGACCATGGGACCTGTAAAGGGCCCGAAACGTCGGTTTGTTTGAAAAAACAAATATACGCGATTTAAATCGGGAAAAATAGTTTCATTCCTATGTGTAACAATCGCGAAAACCTAAGAACTCGATATAATCGTATGTTTTATATACAAGCCTGTGCACATGTATGGAAGAGGCTTAATAAATGTTAGTATGATATCCAACCATTTATATCTTCGACAACACATCCATTACAACATTAACAACATATCTATGCCAACAAATCCAAACAAATTCTTTATACCATACCACTTTTCTTATTGCTCGTGTGATGAATGATGTTATAGTTAGTTCGTATTTCGTAAATTGTTTTTATTTTCCCCTTAACTATGCTACTAAATAGCATTATGTTCGTATACATAGCAAATCGTATCTTGATAATAATTACTATACATATAATAAAATGCAATGTATTGCTTTGTAAATATGAATATATTGAGTATTCCTATTAAGGCCTTGGCTCTGCCCTGTAATTAGTGGTGATTACATAGATGAGTCAATGCTTGCAGTGATGAGGGAGATGCATAGGCCCTGAATAAAACCACCCTAATAATAATAATAAAAATATTAAAAAGAGAGTCGGGAGCGGCGAGTCTAAAATAAATATAATAATAATTCCTATTAAGTATACGTAAGGACTTGTCTCGTAATTTTCTTTTTATTTCCAACATAATAAACGCTATTCTATAAGGAAGTAAACGGAAACAATGTAAAACGCAATATATACAGAAACAAACTCCTTTAATATTATTATCACTTATCGATAACACAAGAATTCCGCTGTGCGCATCACTAGTGCAAGCGAAAGGTCCTCTGTTGTCGACGAGATACTACTTTCTATTCGTTCAGATGTTAGTCATTCGTCGTAGCCCAGCTATTGGCCGCAAGATGGCAGCACGTTATATAAAATTTCAGTAAAATGAAAACGTCGTAATTTGCAAAGAAGGTCTTACACTTTCAATGATATAAGAACTGGATAAAGTTTAAATTATATTAACAGCCCAGGACTTTTTACGCTTTTTAAATTAGGAACTATGACCAATCATTATCAAGATTTCATTGTGTTTATCATTTGTTTGTGTGCGTTTTGGCTACCGCGGTTCTAATAGTAAACGAAGTATATGGCACTTCCATTGTTTTTTTTCTTCCGTGAGGTTACACATCACTATCTCGTACTATTACGTTACGTGGTCGAAAACTCTAACGCGAAACTCTATCTATCATTCTATTAATAGAGTCATAATAATTACATATGTTCATTAGGTATTTATATCGATATAATATTATATTTTTCATTAATTCACTAACTAGAATAATATTGAAGATTTATTTTAAAAAATACATGAAAAAATATTTAAAATGTTATATTTTGGACAGGTACTTTTGAATAAGGTAACCAAGGTATTTGAAATTGCGTGTCCAAGTTTATCATTACCTAGTTAATAATTAGGTATATTCATTACGTAATATTTATCGGTAATACAATTTGAAAATTCGAGAACCCTTGCTACTAGCTCATGAAGTTATGACGTCTCATTATATTGATATAATAAATCTGTATTGTGTATCTTTGCACTAAATAAATGAAGAAAACAATAACTGAATGAGTCTCAGACAAGTTTTTTTTTTACTTGTTTTTTTTCGTCTTTCAGAAAACGAAAGAAAGTCCTCTCTTTATCCCGTTTAGATAATGCTACACAGCCGTACACAGCACAAATCACAACCATTACAAATAGTAACGTAAAATGATGTCGTATAATAACGCACAAGTTTCGTAATAAATAAATGAAAACTATATTCAAATAATCAAAGCTGTCTGAGCACAAAAACGGTTCGCCGACAGCCTTATTGCCACTCACTCAATGTGACCGTCAATGTGCGGGGTGTGGTGCGGTATCTAAAGGTAGGGAGGGGCGGAGAGTGTCCGTCCTCGTTACTTTTTTGTTCTCTGACGAGGTATAACATTACCTTTATAGAAATACGATGACTGTTTCTCTTACCCCATCGTTTGGTTGATGAGAAATACCCCATCTTTTGGTTGATGAGAAACGTTAGAAAAATTCGCATGTTTTCGGCAAATAAATCATAAGTATTCAGCGTAATGATTGTTAAAACTTGTAAAGATGATAAAAGAGGCAACTTTAGTGTAATTCAAAATTCCTATTTTTTTTATAATATCAAATGACGGGACGAACAAGTTGTGCGCCTGATGGTAAGCTACACGCCTGTCCATAACAGTTGCAGTGCCACTCAGAGCTTTAAGTCGCAAAAATCTGAGGGGCACTGCCACTGCGCCCATCACCCTGACATGTAAGTTGACAAGTCGCATGTGTTAAAAATGCCGCCGTTTTGCTACATGTTATATATTACTTATGAGCAATATAGTATTACAATTACCTATAGGATTGACATGTCCCCAATAAGATTCGGGCTGGGGATGCACCATAGGATCACCATACACCTCTGAAGTACTGGCTATTAAAATTTTTGCACCTACTCGCCGAGCTAGTCCTGCAATGTAAGAAGCAGAATTTTATTCAGTGATTGGGTTCGAAATTGGTATCATTACATACCAACCACTTATAAAGATAATGTAGAGGTCTATAAAAGCAACAAATTGATAAATAACCTTCATTTATTTTACATAATAATTATATACATAATTAATTAACATATTATACATACATTAGTTTATTTTATATATTAATAGATTGGTTGCTGTTAAATACTAAAAATAACAGTAAAAGTTACGTAGACAAATTATACGATTCTGAAAAGGTTAAGAAAAATAATAAGTTATACATACCCAGCATATTGATTGTTCCTAAAGTATTTGTTTTAATTGTCTTTACTGGGTTCTGCATATAATGAGGCGGACTCGCGGGACTAGCTAAATGATATATCTCGTCTGCCTGGAAGTCGGTGTAAAATACATGAATAAATAACTGTCATAATAGTGAATTTGTGGCCTTTTGAGCCAATTAAAAACGATTGCATCGCGATTGTATCGCTGCTTAAGTCGCGCGTGTGTGTAAGGTAAACGATTAGCGACTGCATCGCTATTGCATCGCTACTAAATGGCTGCAGACGCGCTGCTAAAAGTCGCAAAAATAAACTAATTTTTTTAAATTTCAGGTAAATCTAACATTTCAGCCTTTATTCAAACTTTTCAGTATTGATATTGTGTCATAAACACATCTACCATTTATCTCAGGATTATACTGAATGACCTAATTCTACCCTTTTAATAGCATAACATTTAACTCTTGAACAAAAACAACTATTGGAAAGAATTCATATCATAGCATGTCATTACTTAACAGAGAAAAACTGCAACTTCCTCTAAGTATTACATAATAATTATATCTTACACATGCTTTTGAATAAAAGCAAGTGAATACTTGTAGTGAGTAATAAGTTTCCTAGCATCACTTACACTAATAGGTGCACAAAACGACTTAAAAAAGTTGAATATCTTGTACTGCTTCATTGAATATTGTATTACAAATAATAATAATAATAATAATGCACTAGGCAAGTCTAGTCTAGTCCCAAACTAGGGAATTCCCTGTATTATGAGTATCAGAATAAAAGAATTCATTGGGGCACTACTGAGAACACGCAGATCAGAACCAATTTAGAAAATTCCAAATTGGTTACACAGAAAATCGAACTTAGAACATTATCATCTAGTGCAAATGGTTGGATCATTGAGGTTGTCATTTGTAAAATCTTTCCTTTTCCATACAGTATAAATCAAATAGGTATTGCATTTCCTAACATAATCACAAAAGCCATAAAACAAATTGATATTAATAAAAAATTAGCAAAACAAGATATTAAATATAAATTGTTTGCATAAAGAAAAATTTTAATTAAAATAAATGTCTAGGAAATGACATCTGAAAGCAATTTAATTACTGGACAATTAAAATATATGAGGTCTGTCCCAAAAGTAAAAGTACCCGAAACATTGGATTGTTTAAAAAAATTTATATACATGACTTAGATTCGAAAAAATTGTTTAAGTTAACAAATATAAGTATATTTAAATTTAACTATATACCAACATCATATGCAAGACAGACCATATCCAAAGTAAAAATAATACCAAAATTAAAAATTTTAAATCACATCTTATGCAAGGTTATGTCTCCCAAAAACACAAAGTTCTATTAGTGCTTCGCACCTTGCAATATTGGCTGAAAATATGCTAAAAAACTCACCTCGACATACAAAGGATTAACTATGTCATGGTGGATCATTTCGAAATTCCTATGTCCAAACCAATGCTCCACATTGCGCTTGCGGCCCGTGAAGAAGTTATCCACTACTATTACTTCATGGCCTTGCACCATGAGCACATCTACAAGATGTGATCCTACAAACCCTGCACCTCCTGTCACCTAAGACAAAAATACTTCAGTATATTGTTGGGCATAGTGCAAATCTGCATGTGTAGCATTAGTAAAATGCGCGTATCTGCACAATCCAAATTTATACAGGAGACGGATTTAACATTTAACTTTGTTATTTCAATGGTTACAACTTTAATTTTTGCACTGTAAGCATTAATTTATGTTGTATATGGACTAATAACAATAGATGCCTGTAACTCCCGCTAATTGGGTTGCCACAACATACACATGGATTTGATTCGGACACTAAATTACTGAAATGGAAACGCATAATCCAATGCCAGTTACGTGTAATTGCACTATCGCCAACAATATGTAAAGTCATATAATGCAAAAATATTATTATATTTATCACATTACTATACATACATCGGATTTGTTGTTACACTTTCTCCATATGGATAAAATTGACATACTTCATATGCTACCAATACCCTTATTAATAAAAACTTAACGAAATAAATAAAAAAAATATGCCTTTTGTAACATGCTTTATATGTAACAACTTCATGCACAAAAAATTCTTAATACTATGGAACATTAAAGTAAAAGAAATAACATAACCAATAGGTAACTAAATTATACGTACCAATATTCTCTTTCTGTCTTTATAGCCTAAGTATTCTACATCAGGATATTTCTGAGGTATTCGTCCTTCTAGCACTGCCAGTTTCTGCTCTAACAATTCTAACCGCGCTTTTGCATCCTGTAACTCTTGTTTTGTACTCTCTAAATTGTCACTAGAATCCATTTTTTTACTATAAAGTACTTGTTTCTTCTTAGGAGCTGGATTTATAATTCTAATTGGTAGTTCCAAATTGATATCTGTGTCGTAGTTTACCACTCTGTCGTCCACAACATGTGATTTAGTCTTATTACAAATGTGATATACCAAAACCACTGCGAAAGTAATTTGTATAGATATTATTTGTTTTTGTTGACGTTCTTAAATGCAGCTATAAAAATAATAATACTGAATTTGGGGTAACAAGTTTTATTCTCTCGAGTCTCGGGTTTTCATTTAAAATTCTTGAGAAATCACAAAGTCAATAAGCTCTGTTTAGCGAAGGTGATAAGATTTAACGAAAGCAATTTATTGAATAGCGCTTTTCTGTAAACAAATTCTACTTACGTAAAACCAAAACACATGCCACTGTTACTGCATTTCTAAATTTTGCTTTGATCATTTCGGTACTGTTACCTGCTCACATTTCTGTACTAGATTAATATAGTAGTACAAAAGAATATCGATTAGATTACTACTTATCTACTACAAATTTATTTTTATGAAATGGCGGTGAAACTGATACAGTAAAACGTTTCTCCAACTGACATGAAATAAATGTCATTTAATAATGACATCACCTGTCACTATCAGCTGGACTTCGTTCAGAAACTGTAAATGTTTGGCCATGTGCTGGGCTTAGACTTTTTTCCATCCTCTAAGGTGTTAGGTCTTGCAAAAATTTCCAATTTGGAAAAAAAAATAATTTCCAAAAAAATTAATATTCTTCCGGATATTTTATTTTATTTTCATTTATTTTATTTATTATTTTTCTTTATTACACCACATTTGATGTTGACACCTGTCAAAAGTTAAAGTTACTCCTAAACTATAGAAACCAATTTTTTCTATCCTCTAAGAAGTTACTGAACCAAAATACGAAACTTAAAAATAGAAAAATAGAATAGAACTATTTTTCCGGATTTAAATTTTAAACAAACGAATGTTGACTGAAATCCAGAAAAATAGTTTCAAATGAAACTATTTTTCTGGATTTTCAAGTGTAAAAACTCAAAACGGAGACATATTCACACCACAAATTTATCAAATTATAAAGACATTGTGGATCCCATTGATCTACCAATAAATGGACGTCGGGTTCGCGCTAAAAAGTGTCCGCACCTATAGGGCGTTAAAATCGCATACAGAGCGTCAATCGCGCAATAGTCTTCGTTTGTTCGAGTGACAGCGTGTTTGTCAATCATGCAGTATCAATAATAATAACTTGTAAAAATTACTGCAGTAAAGTGTGAAAGTTTTGAAGAGTTTTGTATCATATTTTCACTAAACAAATATATTGTGTTATCATAGTTGTCATTTAAAAGTGTTATTTTGTACAGTTTTGTAGTATTTAATTTATATATAACTGAATCATAAGTATAAATTACAAAAGCACACGAAATAATAAAATAGCTAACTGTCCCTTTTCTACTCATTGCATCCGCAAAAAATGGAAAGAGACCCATTACGTCAGTTTCAAGAAGCTTATATAAACTTCTTGGTCATTTTTTTATTGTTCGAACCACAAGCAATTGAAATATTAGGGGTTAAAGCTTAGACTATGGAAACTAAAGGACATGTTACGTTGACATATATAAATTAGACGTTATATGTATATGATGCATTTGGACGTCGAAAACATAAACATATTATTGTCTTTGTTTAACTATTACGTGCCGTCTTAAGCCAAAAGAGATAGCGTCATTATTCTATACAAAATATTACTTCTACTTGAGACCGCTACGGGCGCTGTACGATTTACCATTTAAAATTGTCAAACCTTTTACAAAATCGGTAGCGACTGTAATCTCATGGTAGAGGCACTACACAGAGACTACGGTGACAATTCTCACTAGCGTCCACGTAAAATATTTGTGTACAAAATGTTTTTGCGATTTACCATACAACATTATGAAGTAATTTACGGGGTTGCTAGCGACAATTGTCACAGCGATCTCGTGGTAGAGGCACTGGTCCTTTTTATTACAAAAAGTGTACCGACACTATTATCTAGCAGCTGCATAGTAATAATGATTTACAAAGACAATTTTAATTTGTACACAACCCGCCATCTAACAGTCTAATTGTTTTACAACTTACAACCGTTAAAATTGGCACAACATGGCGGTCAATTTGCAAAAACTGTGGTCAGTTGCGGTAATAATTTACGCCTTTTGTTTAAGTATTAGGGGTTAAAGTATGAAATTGCCGTTTTATTGCAATAGGTTCTTTGAATTTTCATAGAATCTTCATGGTTTGAGGTTTTCGAATGAAACTTTTTTCAAATGGTTTCTGTGATTTTTTTTTTTAATTTGAAACATTTGAATATCGACTTTCAATTGTTTTTGTTATTCAATTTAGACGAGAAAGATGGATACTGCGAAAATTCGAGTGATTTTTGAATACGAGTTCCGACGCGGAACTAACGCGGCAGAAACAGCCCGCAATATCAATGCTGCGTTTGGAGAGGGGTCTACTAATGAACGCACCGTGCGATTTTGGTTTAAACGCTTTCGTGATGGAAATTTCGACTTAAAGAACGAGCCACGAGGAAGGCCCACACAGGTGAATAACGATGAATTAAGAGAGATAGTGGAAGCCGATCCTAGTCAAACTACCCAGGAATTAGCGGCATGGTTTAACGTTACCTTACCCACAATATTGACTCACTTGCGTCAAATCAATAAAATAAAAAAATACGAAAAATGGGTGCCTCATGATTTGACTGATCTGCAGAAAGAAACGCGTGTTGAAACTTGTGTTGCCTTGTTGAACCGGTACAGAAATGAAGGAATATTGGATCGAATTGTAACATGTGATGAAAAGTGGATTCTTTATGATAACCGGAAAAGAAAAATGCAATGGCTGACCCCAGGTCAAATGCCACAACAGTGTCCTAAAGCAAAACTTACCAATAAAAAGGTAATGGTAACTGTTTGGTGGTCTCAGCATGGTGTTATTCACTATAGTTTTCTCCGATCTGGTCAAGCAATAACGGCAGATGTCTATTGTGCCGAACTCCGACCCATGTTGACAAAACTAGCAGTAAAACAGCCCCGACTCATGAATCGATCTTCACCATTATTGCTCCACGACAACGCGAGACCTCACACAGCACGAGAAACCATTTTGACCCTTCAGGAACTGCAGTTAGAAACCATTCGTCATCCTCCGTATTCACCAGACCTTGCTCCAACGGACTACCATTTTTTTCGTGATTTGGACAATTATCTACGTGACAAGAAGTTTTCTTCCCAGGAGGCAGTACAAAATGCTTTCACACAGTTTGTGCAGTCTAGATCGTCGGAGTTCTATCGCAAAGGCATTAATAACCTTCCCATTAGATGGCAGCAATGTATAGATAATAATGGCAACTATTTTGATTAAATAAATTTGTTAAAAATTTAAAAAATAAACAATTTAGATTTTCAGTACAAATCGGCAATTTCATACTTTAACCCCTATTA